CTTAACAAGGAGACTGGGTAACATAGGTCCTGTTAGGCTTACTGGTTGGGGACACCGAGATCAAGGTCACTGATGGTTAGAGATACTGAGCGATATGGCTGAGTGTCGCAAACAATGGTACTCATGCATCCACTCATTATTCTTGTAACATCGGTCTGCATAAATTCCCTATCTTCCGCTTGAATCTGCTCTCAACATTCTAATTTTCATTCTGTTGGTTTATCCAAATGGGCAACCAAAACTGGCGCACGAAAGTGCATAGTTAATGGTCGTAAGAACTGAAAATGAATATATATATATATATATATATATATATATATATATATATATATATATANACAAGTGTTATTGTATCCAACAAAGTACAATAGAACTTTGAGTCAACATCTACTGCTCGAAGATGGTCACCAATGGACTCAAGCCCAGATGAATGTAAAACCGCATAGATCGCTTGAAGTGGTCGCAAATGGTCCGACGTACTAACCTGATTCGCAAAGCAGATACAAACAGCAGTCCAGTTCTTGATCCTTCTCGAGTCTCCATCTGGTCCCAGGTCGAAGTACGGCTGTACCAAAGTCGAAGTCAACACAACTCCCACCCAACGCGCGTTCTAGATCTAGCTTTCCACACGATCGATTCGAGCTGTTCATCTCGTCCTCCTCATCCGCGCTTGAAGCAGACTTATTTTCAACATCACTGTACGCAGTTACGTCCGCTATACAGCGTTGAAAATCTCCCAGATCCAAATGAAATCGAATATGACAACCAATTCCACTAGCTCCGGATGATCTGGAGCATTGTACATAAAATATACGTGAGTCTGATGTGAGAATAACCAGCATGTCTTTCACTCGAGGATGCCAGCGCACTCGAAGAAGTTCAATCCGGTTTTTCTCAGGAGACATGTGATCTATACAGTCAAACGCGCTGTAGATCCGTTTAACGATTGGAGTCTGACGGTGGTTTAACAGAACAGTGAATCAGGGGAGAATTATCGTAAGGCATTGAAATCGGTCAATGATAGTGTAACCAAACAGATTATGAATATTCATTTATTTATCAATAAGTACACAAAGCTAGACAGTTAACTGAGGAATGAAAATAAACTCAATTCCAGTTAATACTGATCCATTTTGGTGTACAGATAACCAAGTCCCTCTATTCACGGCCTTGGCCGACTTTGTAAAGCAATTTTTCAGGGAGACCATGGTTTCGTGCTTGAACATTGTCGTTATCATTAACTCTAGTGGCAGACGATACATCTGTGCAATGGTTCGATAACAAGAAAGATTTAAACAAAAAAGACAAAAACAAGGATGGGGAGCTTTCTATTCCACAGGTCATCGTGAGTTCACATTTTGCTGCCTTTAATAAACACCACTGTAGTTTAAGATTCCAAGTGAATAGCCTTGTGCTAGTGAATGATTGGCGCAAGGCTCTTAGACTACCCATGGAAAAAAACCAAAAGAAAACTTTTATCAGCACGACACCAAAAAAACTTGAAGTAAAACACCTAGGTCACCGGGACCGCTTTTTCAGTTCAATTGAAACAAGTACGAGACAAAGCCCNCCGACGTGAACTATTAATATATTGATCTAACACTGTCAGCTAAGTTATCATACGGAATGCGTAGGGCGCTAACGATATGACCGTTTTAAGGGTGCCATTTTGTCCCCTTTGTTGTTTTCTATGTATATACAAAACCTCTCCATTCCAACCAACTTTGTTGCTTGTAAGTATGCTGATGATATTGTGATTGGTTGCCCAGTCCTTATTTCAGACAGTTTACGACCTCTCCAGGACAGTCTCAATGAACTTCAGGATTGTTCTGTGACTCCGTCCCTTGTACTTAACATCAGTAAGTGCATCGAAGTTCCATTTAGTCTTAAAACCGGTCCCTGTTATCTTTCATTAGCTAATAATCTCCCTGATCTTAGAATTAATAAGCAAAGCATCTGTATCTGGTAAATAACTTGGTGTAACCCTTACCCATAACCTGTCCTGACCAGCTCATATCATAACCCTTTTCACAAAAGTTCTAAAACTGCCTCTCTATGCGTACAGGCTCAGGAAACTGGCCGTACCACATAATCTTACTCTTAAATTTGTGGTTGACTGCATTCTTCCATACTGTCTATACTGCTCCTCGACCTTTATCCCCGGACTGAAAGAAAAAACTTCTCCTTATTTTCAAAATCCCTTAAACGTTTGTCCCGCTACAGTGGAGTTGATAGTTGTTTTAGTTGAGTTCTTTATTTCCAAGCATCTTGAAGCTTGTGATACAATTCAATGACAGGATAACACGTGAGTAAGGGCACTGTTTGTACCACGATATCGCGAAAACCCTGTCAAATCCCTGAACATGCTCTAAATATCAACTCCTTCGTGCGTGTATTTCTACATTCCATGTCTAGCTCGGTTACGAGTCAATCATCAGAATATCCTCATCCACCTTAGGGAAAAACTCTTACAATAATTTTTCTATCATTTACTAAAGTGTAAAATTTCTTATATTATCTTTTTTGTTTGCAATTGGTTTTATCTATCCAATGTAAAAATCGTAAACTGCTGAAAATTTACCCTTTGGGTGGAAGCTTTCTTTGACTTGACTCGAAAAGCGTGATGGCCTTTGTACATTTTCTCAAAATCAATTGCCCCCCCCCTCTCATCTACCCAGTAAAGGGCAAAGGGAATGACTAGAGCAAAAATGGGGCCAGTGGATGGACAAGGAAAAGTAGCAGAGCTTTCCGTGTGCTGAACGATACCTTATGTCAAGCTTTCAAGCCAGTGCTATCTGAGTAGACGAACTAAACTGCCTATTCGACAACCGACGTGATTCGAAAAGGAATCTACTCCATCCTACAGAAAAATTTCACATTTCGAAAGCCCATAATGCACCCTCAGCATAGTGCCAATTGAGTCATTAAGAGATGCGGGAAACATCACAATCTTTCATAGGGAGCAAAGCACCAGTAACGCATTATGGATCAGAGAGGAAATGCTTTGGAAAACACTTTTGGTTGATACTGCTTGATGGGGGGGTGTTCATGTGCTTAGATTATCAAAACAGTGACACGGAGGTCCTGAGTTCGAATCCCGCCATCGCCGCCCATCCTCCCTATTCCAGTATTTTCCCTGACACCCCTGCGACCCGCTTTCTGAAAATTAACTGTATATTTGCATATCCAATGAATAAAAGGAAGTAGAAAGATTTAACAAAATTTTATAATAAACGATTTCCAGAATCACACACATAAACGCGTTTAAAACAAAAATATAGATGTCATTCTAAAATTATGCATTAAATTTAGCTCTACGCGGAAGAAACTGGGTGTATGAGAAGGAGTACTCCGTAGTCATGCTAGGTAAACTTACCAAAACTACTTTTCGTAAAGTTCAAATATTAACACTCAGTTCCTGTTTACTTTAGACAACAGCTAACCATAAGCATTGGTAGGGTGATTCGGTTGTTGTCTTTTGGTGACTCATTTGGATGGCGGAGCGTGCGATACCCGCAGAGGCAGACAACGAGTGCAGAAAAGTCAAGAATGGTCAAGCTAAGAAACCTGAAAGCTCTGGCCAGGGAACTCGGTCATATAGATCACGCTATGCCTCCAGGATGGGGAATTCGAGATCAGTGCAATCGATAGAGACACTGAGTGAAGTGGCACATTAGATTAAAAATACCTCGTATCAACGGTTCAAATTACGAGAAATCCGATGAATGTGCAATGAACATGATTACCCTGAAGGATGAAGGGCTTTGCAGTGGTGAGCGACACATTGGCTCCGAACGACCCATAACACGGAGCGAAGGCAGCGTTGTCTTCAAGTTTTTGTCCCTAGACGGAATGGGACATTGCATAGCCGGTATTCGATGAACAAGCGCATTGCTTGTATGTCTTGTTCTTTAAAGCGACCAATACCTATATTAGGAGGACTTCAAGTTTCTAGAAGAAGATCCTGAAGGAATACACCGATGTTGTACAACAGTAAATCCATTCCTCATCGTTGACTTAATATCTTTGTTAATTCAGTGATAATGACCACACAGAAGGTGCTAATCAACTAAAATTTTCATATTTTCTATACAAAGTAGAGATATAATTAATGCGCTCGACAATCAGGGGTTGGAACAGACCAACTTTTTACTGACAAAAAGCTGAAAATGAAATTTATGTATCATAGGGTAAGTCAGCACTTGTGGCAGACACCTTCACTGTCACCCGGTCCAATATCAAGTGTATCCCAATGAGATCTTGAGTTCCGTAATTTCGAGCCCCAAACGGACGGTTTTTACAAGTGAACAGTAGGTCTTTGTGTTTATTGAACAAACTTTTTTATTGTACTTCGCAATAATGCGTACGAAAAAATTGTTGACCTACGTTTACCGGAAACTCCTAAAAAAATGAATGACGCTGAAATAAAGATAAAAAACACTAAAGTTGGACCTGTGAGGCAAATACGGAAAGTGAAATCAGAGAGACTTACCGAATCGTCTGACTCTGTATTGATTTTACACTTAGCATCGAATACGTGAACTGATGTCCGGGTTAAGATAGCCATCATGTGACAGTCGACTGATAAGAGGATCGAACTGATTCGCAAAGTGGGTTGTGGAGTCAAGATCAATGACCGTTTATGAATGATGTTTTGGCCATTAGTCTTGGAAGTTTCGGCAGCGAGAAATATTATTTGACTGGCCTTCTCGTCGAGTGCAAAGGTGGCATAGTGAACTAGATGTAATTATAAGTCAACGTAAAACCAAGTACCTGGTGATCTGGAGGCAAACTCCAACTTTCTTACGAAACATGAATCATACGTTGAGCCGTCGGAAAGTTCAACCTCCTTAAGTACACTGCATAAAACATCTCTCCAAGAAGCCATTTCCAGGTAAACACTGAAACAAATAAAAATGGAATGGATAAGGAGAAGTAGCGCTGGAGTACCACGAAGTTGATTGAGTCGAAAGCTTCTTCCAGATTAAGGCAGATAGAAAAAGTGAGTCCACGGAACGGATACCTGTTCTAGAATTTGACCGGGGGTAAAAATATGACTACCATGGGTGCAGCAGACAATCGACCAAGTGCGACAACTGCGGGAAGCTTTGATTGTAAATTGGTATGATAAGTTATATACATTGTTGTTCTGGAACTTCTTCGCTTTCCTATACTAAACCTAGGGGTTTTATCAACTCTAAAACTAAGGTTGGAACCAAAAACTTAAAATCCGATGGATAAAATCGACGAGGGTCGGATGCTTTGAGGTTTGGGATAACTTCAATCACGACGAGACTGCACCTTTGCATGGTGTGATGGCTCATGCGCCTCCGCGACTCGCGAGCTAAACAGGATGGCTCCGCACAGCCGCAGATCCAATCATACATGAAAGGTCAATGGGTACAGGCCAGACGAACCTCAGTCTCAATGCCAGCTCCTTAGGCAACTCTTGGCATCATTTGACTATCAACTCCAGCCCCTGGTGAGGTTACTTCAGCAAATAAACACGGTGAGGGGTAGTTTACCGGTAAGAAAACCCGCTAGATGGACGTAGGAGCGGAATACCTGGGGTCTCCTTTCAACGATGGGAGAAGTCTTTGCACTTCACTGGACAGCTACCGTCCGCCCAAGCTGGGCAGTTCCCAGGCAATAAGGTGATATCCCGTCCACGTTACGCTTGTCTCATTGGGTGCATGAAAAACCCACAAAATCCTGCTACCTTGAGGGTCAGACTTTTGAGTCGAAGGCCCGGGTCAGGTTTCCCAAAGAAAAATCCCTTCGCTGATGTGGGCAACCGTGAAGTACGTTGTGCCCAAAAGTCTTAGGTACCCGTTTGGTAAACCCTCTTTCACATGTGCCCAGTTTCTCTTCTCGCAGGAAACCATTCCTGTTTGCGACAACCACGGGGTATCACTCAGCGTTCAACTAATGAGACCAACCACTCGGAGGCTATCAGATTTTTAAAACCAAAATCTCCCTTCCACGCATTTAATGAGGGCACAATACCAGATCAGTCAACAAGTAATCTTAGCTAGTA